TTTAAGTTACTGTTTTAAACAAATTTTAAAAAAATTTTACTTTAACATTTAATAAAGTGAAATTTTCTAAAAATTTTTGACGAGTATAGAGTTTGACCATTGAAATTACAAAATGTTGTTTCATATGCTTCAATGTTACTTACAAAATTAATATGTACTTTGTTTTTTAAAACCTGCTTCAGACAAAAATATACCCAGATAAAAGAGAAATCATTTGAAATATTATTATTTAAAGTTTTTTAATCAAGTACCCAACAATTTATTCTATTGCGTCCTCCTCTAATTCGCTAAAAGTGTTTTCAACCTTAACCCCTTCAGTAATAGCCCTTTTATAAAAAAATCCGATATACAATATGCGATAGAAATGTCGTATCATTATCGTTTTATCGTAGTATTATGAACCGATAACCCATAAAACCGGTAAATTAAAGCAAAATGGTAAAATAAAAAGGTTTTATTGGTATATACTATTTTGTTTGACAGATTATAAGATTTTAAATTCATACGAACTCATGCAGACATATGAAAAATTTAAAAACAAAGAAAAAGTCTGCCATAGACAAGTTTTAATAAAATAAAATAATATGTATGTATATTGTTAATGTCTTTATATCTAACAAGTCCCAATGCTTAGAGAGAAACTTGAAAGCACGACCTTATTTTATATGGGTTTTTTCAAATCGAAGTGGCTATTTTTTGAGAAGAAATATTAAAATAAATTCACACTTATTATAAAGCAGGTAAAATTTAGAAAATATTTGAAAAATCAAAAAAATATATTAATATTTTCATTGATAAGAAGGGGGAATTAGGAAATGATATCTAAAATACAATCAAATATTATTTTTTAAATACAAATTTTATATACACTTCTAAATTTTACCTCTATTTTTATTTGAAAAAATATTAAAAACTTACTATCATTTATATCAATTACCTAAGAAAAAAAAATATTTAAAATGTTTGGAAAAAACAATCATATATTTTTATGACCGGATTTGAATATTTTTTTATTTTTGAAATAAATGATATTTTACCAAATGACTCAAAAATTCCGACTGTAAAATAACAGGTATTTTAAAATTTTTGTTCTTTATGTAATATTCTTTCCGTTTAGAATTAAGATAGGTCATACATACACATGCAGGGACATTTTATAAATAGATTGCTCTTGTTTACCTGCTAATAAAATATGAAAAAAGAGCACAGCAAAATTTTTGAAACACTCAATATAACATGTTTGAAATAGTTTTAAAATAATTATTTAAAAAAAAATTTATTGGAAAAAGGTACATACATATTTATTTTTAATAACTAACTGAAATTATTTGAAACAATTTTATAAGTAACGTATAAATAACCGAAAAGAGATAATTCAAATTGTTGAAATGTGTCAACCTATATTACTTTTAATAACATTTTTGTTAGCCGACACTACTCAACTTACCTTATTCGGAAATACAAAATGTGCATAAAAAATCATACATCCTTCCTCATTAACATTTGAAACCATACTGAAATGTGAATTTGAAATTTTTTTTCATTTTTTCTTTCCTCCTACCTTTCTTTCTTTTTCGTGCAATAGAATTTAAATGGGAAGCTTTTTAAAAAATTTGTATAATATCCTGAGATTCTTTAAAATATTAAACTCTTTTTTACTTAAAAAAAAAGAAAAAAATAATAAAAAATATGGCACGATCAGTGACATTTAAAGAAAAAACCAAAGTATATCTACTAACAAGTAGTTCGACTCTCCGTTTACATCACACTAATGCAACACTCACCAATATTTGTATACAAAAAATTCCCTTAGCTAAAAGAGTTAAGCAGTATACCTTCTTATTTTCATTTTTATACACATAAGAATTTTTGGGAGAGGGAAAGAGTACGCAATAGATCTCAACCTGTTTTTTTATAATGTAATTTTGAAAGGCGACACTTTATTATTTGTTCCTATATAAAGTATAGGGAAAAATATTAAGAATTTTAAAAGCGACACAATAATTTCTGTAATTCATTCCAGTACAAGGAGGCAAAAAATGTGTATTATATTATAAAAGCGAAGAAGAAAAAAAGTGTTTAAAAAAATTATTATAATTTATATATAATTTTTAAAAATAATAAAAATATATTTTGAAAAGACGTACAATAGTGAAAAAAATTTAAATAGTTGTGAAAAAAATATTTTTTTTTATAAAAATGGGTAAACATTATTTGAAGTGTTTGGGATGAAAAAAAACCCGACACGAAAATTTCATTTGTTGCCAAAAGATGTGAAGAGATATGTACTTTTGAAAATATTTTAAATATTTAGCGTTAGGCATTTGTAATTAATAAATAAAATAAATAAATTATCTTTAACTTTTTTATTTTTATTTCAATCTTAATAAATTTATAACATATTCCCCATGAATCGGTAATAACTATATTTCATAAAGTAATCAGTATGCATACACCTTTTTTTTTTATAAATTACTTTATTTCTATGTCACTACCTGATACTGTGTATCTACTGTACCAGGTTGATGCATGTGTACATTCATAATCATACATGAAATTTCAAACTCTTTTGCTTTCATACATTCGAATTTTTTACCTAACTTTAAAAAATGAAAAATAAATTTTTACCTAACTTAATTTAATTTTATTTCGGTTCAATGTTTTTGATACACTCGTTTGTTTACAATATTTTGTTTCTTTCTTTCCTACACAACTCTTATTACCATCTATTTCTAAAAAAAAATGGAATCTTTTATGAATTTGGAAGCAAGATGCAAATGAAAACTAACGGAATGGAACGAGTCGAATTACTTGTTAGTAGATATACTTTGGAAAAAACCAGCAACGAAGCCAAAAATTCGTAATATTTCGTAAAAAAAATTGAGTATTGGGACTTGTTAGATATAAAGACATTAATTGTCCGATACAACGCCGATAAATAAATTTCGTAATACTAGTACTACAATAACTATCAGAAATATCGTGTATCGTACAATATATTTTTTTCATAATAAGAACAAATAGGTTTCCCACTGCTGCATTGATAAAAAAATTCATCAAATATCATATTCATATGAAGAATTTACTTTCATTTCATCGTAAGGTTATACGCAAAGTTTTTCTTTTGTACCATTGCTCGAAAATTTAAAACATTTTCCAGTTTACTTGGTCATAGTGAAAATTGAGCCGCCTCTTTTTCTTAGAAAGCTGCGGCAATATCTTCTGTGGACCAATTTAGCTTTTTTCCGTTTTGCTGCATTCTTCTAACTTGTCTTTTCCAAAAATTTTATTTATAGATTTACAAATAGAACTCTTATTTTTCAACTGTTGAGCTAAATTTGTGTTTTTTACTTGCTCATATTTTAGTTTTCCTTTTAAAATAACTATTTCACAATCCTTGATAACTTCCAAATTCCACCTAAATTTTTTTTCGAATCAATAACGGAATATCATTTTGCAAAAATTTTTTTTACGTAGTTTGCGTATGAGTAGTTAAATTTGTAATATTATTATTTATATCTTCTACATTATGATTTTCTTCCAGGCAACTGAAAATTTACACAAACCTCTCATAAATTTCAGGGCCTTCTTTAATTAAACGTTTTTGTTTTCTCTGATTTTATCTTTCGTTCTTTCGTTTTAGTGAATTTTTCAAGCACACTAGATTTTGAGTTGGTACGACTTCATGCTTCAGAAGCTTTTTACCACTAGTTGTATTTAATAAAAAACCTTTCAATCTATATTCATTGTCGACATAACGTTCGAAACATATTCCGCCATTTTTAAATTTTGATTTATTGTTTACTCCACAAACATTGAACTATTTAGATTTTAAAATTCCATCTTTAGGATATGTAAAATATTTAATTTTTTTATCAAGTTTTTTTCCTTCGTGATTTGGTACAGTACACTTCAGTATTTTACTATTAGAATAATTTCTATAGCGCGGCTGGCAGAAATACAGTTCATAGCTGATGAATTTACACGTATTCTTACGGAATCTATAGACAGAGGGTTCTTCTTTCTACTTTCTACTATTAAAGTTTTGTGTCAAAAAATTGATCTAAAAAAAATGTTTTAGGTGCTGTTAATTTTTTGAAGATTTCAATAAATGCTACGCTACAAGAAAAAAAAATAGTTCAATTTTTTTTTCGAAGTATTTTATTAGTTGTATTTTGGTGTATTTTTTCAAATTTGAGAAAATGTACATTTGAAATAAACTTGCTAATTTTGTATGATGCATACTCCCAAAAAGCATACTTCTTATATAATCACATATAGATATGTATATCTATATAATACATTACATAAACCTCCACATCAGTAACTTTAAAACTTGTACAAGTTTCTTTTTTAAATTTTTATTATGTTTGTTTTTTTTATATGGGACAACTTGAAACAAAGCATTTTTTATAACGATTATAAAACTTTAGAAGCACTGTCATAATTATAAAACTTAAAATCAAATAATTACAAACTTAAATTCTAAATTTAAATCTAATATAATTTTTATTAACTTTATTTTAAGTCGTGTATTCTAAAGTAAAAAATATAGCACCAATTTTTTTTATTCACTGTATTCTCATTTTTTACTCTCAATTCTCTCAGATATGCGGAAGAAACTAGAAAATATATTTAATCAAAATTATAGTTAAAATTTTAAGTTGAAATTTAAATTTTTGATATGTTGTTCAGAAAACTCCAAATTTTATGTTAGTATAAAAACTTAATAAAAATTTTAGGTTTCATTCAACTTTTCGTAAAGAATACTCGAAATGAAAATAGGCAAAAATCATAATTTTTCTAAAAAAACAAAAAAAAATGATTCTTCAGAAATGTCATTTCGCCAAAAACCCATGCGATTTTACAGATCCATTCACTAGAAAGCAAGGTCTAGGCCTTGATTTTTTGTAATGTCAAGTTCTATAGCAATAATTTTTTGTTGACAAAAAAGATAGCAATGACGCAACTGCCTTTAGCTGTCAGTTTAACAACGACAATCTTTACATTGCCTTGTTTATGTCCTTTGCAATTACATACCTGTAATTTTAATACATATTCAGAAAAATATTAGTGGATATTTTTGCGAATTAAATCTTTAATACCTAGATTAATAAAAGAAGTTACTTAACACACGTGCCCAATCCGTGTATGCATACTAAAATCAGAACGTAGTTTTCAATTAATTACATTAAATCAAAAAATCATAATGATGAAAAAAATTGTTGACTTTATTAATTATTGGTGTTTTCGTTATCAATTAGTAACTGAATTGTACATGGTCGAAAAGTGGGAAAGGATAACCATTCGTAATTTGAATTTAATTTAGAAAGCATTAATAAGTTATGTATAAAAATTTTCAGATGTGATATTTTTTGCAATATTTTTATTATTCTGGATATTTAATTACACATTGTTGCTGCCTCTAACTGAAAGGATTTTTGGATTCAAATCACAAAATTAAATAATTGAAGGATCAATAATGTTGCATCTGAAGATCAATAATATTAACATTATTGAAAGATCTATAATGTTAATGTTATCTTTAATTAGGATCGTTCTGTTATCTTTAAATCATTTCTTTAACGCAAATAAGCTAAATACTTATTTCTATTCTGTAAGATGGTTCCATTTTAGTAAAGCGATGATAACAAATTAAAAAAACATCTATTCAAATAAATTTTAGTTAAAAATTAACAAATATTTGTATAGCTTTTTGATATTAAATTAAGATTACAAAAAATTTTTTTCAAAATTAAATTGAAAATCAGTATTACGTATGTGTTTATGTACTATCCATTCTGTAAACATACACATGTGTGTTGGTACTAAAAACTATATTTTCTTGTTAATACAAAATTTAGATTTATGTATTTATTTGCTAGTTGTTTCTACTCTTTTAGCAAAATTTTAGTGTCTTATATATTAATAAATTATTTTGTTTTTTTTCTAAGTTAAAATATTTTAAGCTTTTTAAGGTTTTACACTTAAGTCAAAACATTTTCTTGTAAGAGTACGTAACATAGGAATTTAGGTATATACATATTATATTCTGTACACAAGACAGAATCTTGTGAGCGTACACTTAAATGTTAAGAAAGAATTTCATATTTTATACATATTTCTTAAGAACTGGAAGTTTTGACAAAATTTGAAAGCTTCTATACCGGCCTATATTAAAAAAAATTACGGTTGTGGGAATTAGAGTTTTTTCAAATAGCATAAGAAAAATTTAACTGTTTTTAAATTGCATTAATAGTTTTCAGAATTGTAATCTCCAACTATTTCACGATAAATTTTAATTTCTTCATATGATATGTTAGTGATTAATTATGTGTATAGATAAACATATTGCTGCAATTTTCGCCATAACATGTAATACCAAAATGCAGGTCAGAATACCATACATTCTACGTAAAAAAACGATAGGTTAGTAACGTCTGATTAGAACAAATGGTGTTTAGTGAAAAACTTCAGGAAAATAATTCTTTTTATATTTTGAGTTTGTTTTTAAATATCTCTGAAACTAAGAATATTTCACATCAATTGAAAAGAGTACAAAGACTAATTTGGTTATCTCTAGGTGTGCAAAATATCGCTAGGTGTTTTTTTGTTTATCAACGCATTCTATCACCTTGCTTCGGAGGTGCCGTAGCATCTTGGGTACTATCTATATATGTGCATACATTTTATACTATTATATGTTTATCGTCGGATGTAAATTAACTGACTTCTATCTACAGTTAATGTCTTTATATCAAACCCAGATCCCAATATTCAATTTTTCTTATTTTTCTGATCGTGGCATATTTCGTATTATTTTTTTCTTTTTACGTAAAAAAGAGTTTAATATTTCAGAAAATCTCAGGATATTATATGTACACATTTTTTTTTAAAAGTTTCCCATTTAAATTCTATTGAACGAAAAAGAAGGAAAAGTAGGAGGAAAGGAAAAATGAAAAAATATTTCAAATTCATATTCCAATATGGTTTTAAATGTTAATGAGGAAGGATATATGAATTTTCATGTAAATTTCGTATTTCCCTATAAGGTAAGTTGAGTAATGCCGGTTAACAAAAATGTTAGTAAAAGAAATATAAGTAGGTTGATACATTTCAACAATTTGAGTTATCTCGTTTCGGTTATTTACACTTGTAAAATTGTTTCAAATAATTTCAATTAGTTTTAGAGTTATCAAAAATAAATATATATGTACCTACTTCCAATAAATTTTTTTTTGTACATAATTATTTTAAAACTAGTTCAAACATGTTCAAACGGAATTTTTGAGTTATTTGCTGAGATACTACTTATTTCAAAAATAAAAAAAATATTTAAATCCGGTCATAAAAATATATGATTGTCTTTTCCAAAACCTTTTAAATATTTTTTTACTTAGGTAATATTTTAAATTTTAAAAATTTTTCTTAAATAAAAATAGAGGTAAAATTGTGAAGTGTATATAAAATTTGTATTGGTAAAATAATATTTAATTGTATTTTAGATATTATTTTCTAATTCCCTCTTAAAATTTTTTCTTTACTTTGTATTCATTTCAATATTTAATAATTATCCCTTCATTAATTATATTTTCAACTTGACACTACAGTTACTTCCCATATCTTGAGTTAACTTGCCCTGTGAGAAAAGAAAGCTGTCACTTAAAAATAATGAAATGCTTTCAGAATCATTTAAAATGGTGAAGGCAAAGGTTGTGCTTGTGGTTTTTCCGCTTAAGAATTTTAAAATATGTAATTGTGAATGAAAATATTAATATACTTAATTGATTTTTTAAATATATTTTTAGAATTTTACGTACTTTATAATAAGTGTGAATTTGCTTTAATACTTCTTCCCAAAAAATAGCCACTTCGATTTAAAAAAACCCATATAAAATAAGTTTCTCTCTTAGCATTGGGACTTGTTAGATATAAATACATTACTACAGTAATTAATTTTTGATTAATTATTGTTGACCAATTAGTGATCTTAAAAATTTTTGTTTCATACTCTTTAGAAATGGTTTTTTCAAGCAAATAAAAACTATTCAAATAAATGCATTCAAATTAGTACTAGTACTTAACAGTTCAACAGCTTTTATTTTAAACACAAAAGTATTAGTTTGTGAGTAAGACTACTAATTTTGTTATGTAGATGGATAGGTATACAATATTACTTTAAGAACTTTGAAAGAAAAGAATTATGTTTATTCGTGCGAAATAAAAATATATGTATTTAAATTTAGTGCCTAGTTTTTATGTAAATTTATTAGGCAAACATTTTTCGCTCAAAAAAATTTAAAACATATTTTTATTTAACTTATTTTCAGTGCCTAGTTTTTATGTAAATTTATTAGGCAAACATTTTTCGCTCAAAAAAATTTAAAACATATTTTTATTTAACTTATTTTCATTAGAGCCGCGAAGTGAATTACAAGGAAACAGTATCGAACTGACATTGATAATTATAAATTTCCAAAAAAAAAGGAAAAACCTATTGTCATTAAAAAATGAAATATGTATAGCTATCGTTAAAAAAATAAAAATCCTACTATTTCAATAGTTTTTTTTACTTTTATAGTTTATGGAGTTTTGTTTAGTTATCTTCCGTTTTAATACATATATATATAATATTATTTAAACATTATATTATAATACATACATGTATAAAAATATATAACATTATTATATATATTTTGTAAATTCTTAAAGTCTAAGCACAAACTATATTAATGAAATTTAAGCTTTTATAATATTCGATTGGATGATAGTTTAATCTAGTTTTGTCGCTTTTGCAGGTGGCTCTACCAAGTCTACTTCTGCCTTATTGAGGTCCTCATCGATTCTCCTTTTCAAAATAATAGTTGCAGTCCTTCCTTTTTGTGCTTTCATATTATCTGCATTTCCAATGCTAATAATATTCAAATTATTGGCACATGGCTCAGTAATATTGGTATCTGAAGTCATGTCCGAACTATCGACTGTTCGGCTTGATTTTATCAATTCAAACCTTCTTTTAAGCTCAATTATTTGGGTGTTCATTTCAGACATTGTCACTGCATTTTCACGTAATTGTCTTGCTTGCTTATTTTGTATATGAATCATGCGATTAAACTAAAAAATCAAAATTTGTTTAGAAATTTATATAATTAATCGAACAACATAATTTATACCTTTTTGATAGCAATTTTATATTTTTGAGCTAATTTTTGCAATTTATTTGAGTTTTCCACACATCTAAAAGTAGTCCCACAAGTCCTTTGCATAACATTTGTAGGTGGGGTAACTATTACATGATCCCTCGGTTTAAAATGATCTTCAATACATGATACTCCAAAAATAAATTGCGGGCTGTTTCTGTTTGTCTGAGAATTTGTTTTTGGCGTGGGGGGATTAGATCCAGAAGAATACTTTTGAAAGGTCAATTCAACGAAGCCTTTTTTCAGTAAATGAGCAATTTTTTCATCAAAATGCTCAATTGCCATAGAAGAAATATCTCGAAGCTCTTGCAGAACTTCATGGGCTCTCAATGGTCTATTTGTTGTTTCTATTAATTTTAAAATGCGATTTACTTCATCGATAACCTTACCTGGTATAAAACAACACAAATTCAATTCCATATACCTAAAAAGAGAATTATAAAATTGATATTTTTTGATAAAATTGATTGAGCAAAAATAATATTGTCTTAACTTATATAAATATTTTTCTCGTAAAACATGAGTCAAAATATGTATTAAGGTTCTTATAATAAATAATAGTTTATTTTTGGTAAAAAATTTTATTTACCATTTTTCATGATAACTAACCCACAGGTGCTTGGGTGTTTCGTTTCGCCTATTATCGTATGTATATTTTTAAATGTCATTTTAAGATATGCACACATATGCGTAATATGTATGCTTATCTCCTAGATACTCTTAAATATTAACATGCACTTAAAGTATAACCTACGTTTAACAAATGCACCTTAGAAAATTAATTGTATAAAGTAATGCATATGATCAGAGAAAACCTGTAACTTTCACGCTGTATTTTTTATAAGCGGATCAAATAAATCACAAAAATTCTCTTTACTTGTATTTTTTAATGTTCAATTGAATTCAATGAGTGGTCTAATTAAAAAAAAATGAATTTTTTAAAATTACATCAGGTAAAAATTTCAATTTTTATTTTTCTTTTTTAACCGCATTAACGATTACTAAATTTAATATTTTTATCACTTCTTTCATATAGTACTCTGCACTTACTTTGTATAGGTCATTGATAACATAGAAATTCTTGTTTCTATACAAGTAAGTATATCCGCATGCCGTGCCATGGGGTGATTTCTAAAGTAGATAAATATTTTATTAAATTGGCTTAATCTTTCAAATTTAAAATACCTCCTCTCAGATTCCCGTCGTGGTAATAGTGATTTGATTCTTTTTAAACTAACACTATGACGCCTAACCATTTTACTAAATCCGCGATTTAATACAATTTTTCCAACTCTATCAAATGTTTTACATATCTGAAATATAATTTAAAATCTGTACTTGGAAAACAAAAGTTTATATAAACAGAAATTACCAATCTATTCCGAGCAATATCATCGTAACTTAGAAACTCTATTACTTGCTCCAGCATACCATCAGGTAAGTCCAAAATATTCATTTTCCCCTTGTTGTTCTCGAAAATATTAGATAATATTTGTAATATTTCAAATGCTGTGTTTTATCTCAGAAAATTCTGATAATGCACTCAAAACAAAACGAACGCCTTTATAACAAAATTAATAAATTGAAATTACACATATTTTGGAAATACATTGCCCTTTTTTTATTGTTCAAGTTCCTTCCCAAAATTTTTTACAAAAATTTGAAAAAAAAAAACAAATATTACTGAAACATCTACTAATAGAATTTTGTATTTGCTTTTTTATGACATAAGGGATGTTCCTACCTATGTACAAATTTTCTTACAAAATTGACGAATTGAAAAATAAAAATTTTAACGGAATGGGAACTGCTAAATAAATTTATTGCCTGTTAGGAACTAACTTTTAGCAAATGGAAAACCAATGTACAACATAGAAACATTGATTAAGAATAATTTCACAAAATCAATTGTATTTCTAGAAAATACCCGATACGTTTTTGAATCCACATTCTTGATATTCGTCGAATTTATTCTCGCGCCAACAATTATTTATTGTAAAAATGTGTTCAAAGCAGTGAACGGCAACGGCGAAACCACAGACCAACAGCGGAACGGCAAACGACTGTGCAGTATTTTGTATATAAAGGTACACCACGCATGGAAATAGATAACGTCAAAAAAAAAATCGCCGGCGGCAAAAAAGGATTTAGATTTTCTGACCGTCGGCGGTTAAATTCGCGGTGGTGATTTTGATTAATTCTGGCCAGTCCCATTAAAATATGTGTATTCTATATAAATTCTGACATTACGCCGCTCTTGTTCTGTTTTTAACTTAAAATCAAAAAGTATTTAATTATTTAAATTATTAAAAGTATTTGATTATTTGTTGATGTAAGTGCACCGTGTATACAAAAAATACTTTTGCCATACTTAAAAATGGGCATTAAAATATAATTAATTGAAGAGCTATTAAAAAGCGACGCAAACAAGAAAAAAATAAGTAATAGCTTTGTATTTTTTGTTCCACTGATCCGATTCGCTGTAAAAAATAAAAACAATTCATAAATTGTTATTTATTAATCCCAACTTCAAAATTATTTTTTTGCATTTACCCGGCAGCCTTATGTTTATGTGAACTCATTTTTATTTTTTAAGAACAAAACAATTAAACTCTGCAAGCAAAATATTTATAACTAACAACCTAATCGTGTGTAAAACATGATTAAAAAAATATAATATGAAGCATATCGCTATATTTGTATTCAAGAAAAAAGGTGCATAGTTCCAAAATTTTATTCTCATTTCAAAAAACAAATGGATTTTATCCATCAGATGCATTCGAATATTATATAATTTAATAATTAGAAAAAATATTTATTCAATGGTGTTAAGTTTAATTCATAATTCGCAAATGTATTAAAAGCCTAATCGTGTATTTCATTTTTATTCACTTTCAAATCAAAATTCTCATTTTTTCAATGGGACTTTTGTATTTTTTCACAATTTATCGACTGAACGTCTCACTTTTAAAAACAAGGTGTATAAATTTGGTATACTTACCGCTAAATTTGCATAGACGATCAGGCGCTAAATTTCGCAACAGGCGCAATTGACACTTTGGATTAATAGATCACTGTCGCACGTAATAAATAGTTACATTATCGAGGTTTCCGCATAAGATTGAAGTTAAAGGACATGTGAATAATATCTAAATACTTTAAAGTTATGCAACAAATGCATTTGATCCATTGATCTAATAATCATGGGTAGCTAGCGCTCATATATTTCTTAATAAAAAAAAATTAAACCAACATAAAGTACACTTCCATATAACGGAGTTTAGCTTTATGTCAAATTGACAACGTCAAATTTTATGTTTAGCCAATTTTAGCATTACCGTAGTATATTGTTTTCAATGCAACCAGATTGCAGGCAATTTTAAGTTATTATTTAAATTTTCATTTTCGTAAAAGTGACAAATATTTACATTTAGATTTTTTTGCGAATATATATAATTTTGTTGTAAGTCTGCACAGCGAGAAGTCCGATATGCCGCGAGCTTGGCCCCACACGGCGGAAGAAGGCAGCCATAGAAAGACAGCCCGTGGCAGCTCATTGTCAATCTGTTGGCCTCATGTCCACTGCGGTCTATCATCCAAATAAGCGTGAACCTGTTTACCGATGCCAATTCCACAAGTGGAGTAAGGCAGCTTCGAACTGGCATAGATGTAACCTGAGCTAACCGACTGAAGCTTCACAACACCGCCTTACTGTTCGAGAACATATAAATTGTACGGATTTTATACCTTCTTTCTAAATTGAATCTCAGGCAGATCTCTATTGCAAGTATTTTGGCCTAAAACACTGTGCAATATAGGTCAAGGCCCGCATATATAGACGTGTTCGGACGGACATCATATACACCCGAACCCACACCCGATTTAGTCTTAAACCGCCTACCTCAGGCTTGAACCCGACTCAAGTACCAGGCCAATCTGATCCCAAAGTCAAGCCCGGATCCTAGGAGAGAGTGAACTATCACTCTATCTTAACCTCCGGACCTGTATTTTTGTCGGCCGTGTTAAAAACAGAACAAGTGCTTTTTTGTGAGAAAATGTCAAAGTTCATATAGAATTAGCGTTCTAATTTTGTAATATTTAAATTAAGTTTGGATACAAAGGCACTCAAATCTGCTAAAATGCGAAATTGTCTACATTTGAAAATTTTGCTAAACTATGGATACATTTGTTTCTCAAACACTAAATAAATATTACAAAACTGTTAAAATGCCGAAATGGCATTATCTTCAAAAAATGTTATTTCCTGGCTTTTCTAAGCAGATTTCGGAATTTATTAGAATAAACTAAGAAAGATACTTTATTAAATGAGTACTGTCCCTTTCCGTAATTATATCTAGAAGATTTAGACAAGAACATACCAGAAAAAGCGTAATCAACGTGTTATAGGAAATGTATTGGGTGTACATACTTTTAAAAATATGTGCGTTTTCATGGTGAATCGTCTTTACAGCATAATTCTATTTTAGAAAGGATACTTTTTTTTCTCAAAATTAGATACATTTCGTTTTTACTGAGTGGGAACACTGTATAGGAATGCGGATATAATCTTTTATTGAAATTTTTTAAACCGTCGCTAAAAGTAATAATTAGTCCCGCAGTCGCTTTCGTTATAATTGTGTTTTACATTAAACTTTTGCTCGTTGTACTTTCATTATCCAAATGTAAACAAAAATAAAAAAAAAATATTTTCAATATTTTAAACAACTTGTAAATCTAAACTTTGAAGTGAAGTTAAACAAGTTTTGCTATGAATAATTTTGTTCGGGGTTCTTGCAGAGAAATGTGTCCTGCATCAGAAGTGAAAATGTATTTAATTTATTATGACAAAATATTTATATATGCTGCGTGTATAATGTGGTTATCGATTTTAGGAGAACTAAAGAACATCTTTTACACTTTTTTGAATTGTTGGATGGAGCACCATACAAACCTGTAAAATGTTTCTCAAGATCTGCGGCTGGTATGAAAACCCCGAAGGAAGTAGATTTAAGGACACCCTTAGCTTTAGAAAAGACTGTTACTTATTTATTAACGGAGTAAGAATATAAATATCTATGTTTATTTTAAATTGTTTTATAATCGCTATCGGAAAAGTTTAAAAAGATATAATTTTAGCATCCTTATGGACGAAAGGAAACCCTTTTTTTACGTCTACGACTTTATTTTCGATAGACTACGGAGCGTTCGGCAGGAAATTGTGATACAAAATATGGATAAAGAAAAGTCTATAAAGCTTTTGGAACCCACCATTTTGTTTTTGGCCTACAGTCGGTATAGGTATTTTAGGGATTAAATTTTATTAAAAATTATTTTTATAAAGCAACGTGATATTGATTTTGAAGTATTTGCTATTGCTATTGAAGATTGTCGAGCTTACATATACACATATATTATGAATAAGATATATTACTTTCCTCTACAACTTACTCTACAAAAAAACTTTTTCTGTGTTGCTGCGAAGAATATAAGTAAAGGGATATTGCCGGTCTACTCAAAGGACCAACTATTGTTCCCATACACTCTTGAATAATTGAGCATTTGTAACAAACGTCGGAAAAAAGTAACAGCATCTGAAGTTTGCTCTAAAATGTTTTAGATTTCAATTAAATTCTTACAATTCAGTTTTTTTAGTAAATAACGGTTCTTAAAAATGTCAACTGCTTTTAAGAATATTTTATCTGATCAGAAGTTAACAATAATTAAAAATTATAGTAATTAAAATGAATAAAAATCAAAAATAGCTACAATTTTTTGAGCTAACACATTTTATTAAGACATATTGTAGAATCTTGATCTACCAATGATTTTCTTCTATATCCTATTCCATACATCTCCTATGCTCCTACATTGTAGCATTTAGTGATTTAAATTAAAGCTTGAGAAAGTAGCTAAAATTTTGTAAAAAAAATTTCGAAGTCTCACAAAATTTTGTTCGAAATCATCGAGTTGGAGAAAAATAAAAAGACAAATGAAGGAAGAAATTCGATTTTTTCCAAAATTCAAATGCTTGGTATTCCGAAAGTACATTCAAGCCTTTTCAAAAACTCCTTATTGAAGCTTCTATCTTTTTCGAAAGGGAAATTATAAGCAAAAATCTTGATCAAGTAGACATTTCGTGAAAATTCTTTAAAATCTCTGTTCCTCGGAAACCGTTGAGATGTTTTGCCTAATTTTGAACAAAAATTTTACTCATTTTTAATGCTCTGAATGATGGTACATGTTATATCACTGAATTATACGAATTATATTACTGAGTCATCCTGGGTACCTATATGTACATACTTTCGAAGTGCTTTTTCTTTGATTGCGTACACAGGCTAATTAAGCTAATAAATATTGCGAGCTTTTTTAAACTTGCAGCAGGAAATGGCAATACGAACATATATTCTTAGTTATGTATTGCACAATCATTAATAGGTAAAATAAAACAAATTTGTGAACATAAATATTCTTTGCGTTATTAGATTAAACGCTGAACCAATTCAAAACTTCGACTCGAAAATTTGTGATCAACATTTGCAAGAGTGCATGAAAAAGGTTCTCGGATACTACGATGAATTGGATGTGGAAAAAAATAATGAACCGCCAGCTATAGAAACAAGAAATAGAATACTCGTGGAAGCTTTGTACCAACTATTTAATTTAGGACAAACTGAAGCTCTTAGCCGAACTTTAATTTTAAAGTCAAATATAAGGTTGGTCTGACCTATAACCATATTTTTTTTACCAAATATTACTTTTATTTTTATTTTACATACATTTCATTTATGTAAAAATAACTATATTTTTATTGTTTAGGAAAAATCCAACATTTAATTTGGCAATGAGAGCTTCCCTAGAATATTTTAGACAAAACTATTTTAGTTGCCTCCAAAAAGTTATTAATTTTGAGCATATATTATGTGCAATAGCATCTTTGAAACTAGCGAATATTAGAAGGTTTGTTGTAATTTTCGATTATTTACCGCTATATAAGAAAAATTTTAATTTTAGAGAAATTTTATTACGATTTTCCCACGCGTACAATAGCAAATGTCTTACAGTCCCAATATTTTTTATTCAAAACGTTTTGTACTATGATTCTTCAGAAGAACTCATTCAAGACTTGCATTATTACAACATTGAAATATCATCAGACAAATCTTCAATAAAATTTTTGAAATCTAATTTTAATATTAATAAAGATGTTATTCAATCTAAGAAAGAAAGATTCGTAGAAAAAAAATTAAAAAAAATCAATTTACCAGAAGTTATATGTAATATAAAAATGACAAAAATTTGATTAATATACACATATATACATACATACATATATAATATGTAGTTTTTCTTTCAGATGTTCTAAAATTGTGTATTTCAATATCGCCGAAAATAAATATTTTAAACGAAAAGAATGCAGATATTTAACGATACAATAATGTAAACGATCATATACATTTACCACTTCCTTTACTGAGTGCTGGATGGCCCAGTTCTGCTCTGAAACAATGGTCTTCTACAAAAGAATTCATTTATGTACATTTTCGGAGTCCTAGCCTGACGTTTATATTGTTGTAAATCGCGTCATAGATTGTAATGGGAAGCACTTACGAATCCGAGGGGCCGAGGGTAAGAGATTATCCCAGGCTATCACATTCTTAAAAATTTTTTAGGAGGTTCACATCGGTGAGCCAAGAATCGGATTTATTGACTCGTCTGTAATCATTTCTAATTTTTTTAGACAAATCAACAAAGTGTGGACTTTCGAATGGAAACAGAAATATATGCATAACAAAAATGTCACGGCCTGGACCATTTTTTTTTCTTCATCACAGAAAAAATTAATTTTTTTTTTAAATGTTGATTTTTGTCTGCTTCCTTTTCAAATTTTATCAACAATTTCGATTTTTTTCCCACTTTTTGAGCCGCCATGCCAGGGAACATACATATTTGAGAGAATTGAAGGGCAAAAAGTGATAATACAATGAAAAAAAAAAATGATACTACATTTTTAACTGTAGCATACACAAAACAAAAAAAATTTAATCAAATTATTAAATTCTGTAAAGAGAATTTTGGAAGTTTCCAAAAAATGCATGAGAAATTGTGGAAACAGAAAAAGTAAAAAAATGAAAAAAGAGGAAAATTTGCATTTTCCTGAAGTATTACAGATATTGTATTTTATGTTCTACCGGAATACGATGCGTTCAAACTTTGGAAAAACACAAATTTTTCCATTTTGTATTTTTTTAATTTTTCTCTTCCCTAAAATTTTGTGTGAAAGTTTCAGAAACTTTTTTTTGTTACTGAGTTTTGACCACTTCCTTAAGCTTTAATTGAAGTTACCAAACGTTAAAAAATCTATTACTGAACAGGAGACAGGATAAAAACCATTCCTATGTCAAGATTTTAAAGGCTCTAATAAAATGTATGAAATCGAAAAATTTTCCCTACTTTTTATTTTAATTTTTGATCACATTAGTTACATTGAAAAGCAGTTTGAGTTTTTAAGAACTATATTAAGGTTTTAAGAACTATTTTAATAAAATTTTAAGATTTTTATTGAAAATCAAATGAATTCAAGTAATATGTTGCTTTCAAGCTCTTTACTAGCCCTTCCAGAAACTATTCATTTGTAGTCTTTATCCTTTCAGAAGGGAAATTAAAAGCAATGAAGCTTGGCCAAGCAAAAATTTCGTTAAAATTAGTTAAAATCCCTGTATCTCGATCTAAACAATGATATATAATATTGTACTCTTTACTGAACCACTCCGTATATTTTATCACACACATGTTCTTCATAGCTTACAAAAAAAATTTTCCTTATGACGAATTCATTTGTCAGAAAATGAAGCTGATTTTTTGCGAGACATAAACGTGTACATATCACCCAGTACACACGTTTATATTTCGCAAAAATCAGTTTTTCGATGTGAGAATAAGTATATAATATGCCATATCAAATGTTAAATAAAAATGTTCAAAAAATTAAAAAAAAGGATATTAATAACGGTACTTTCTAAAGGAAAAAAATCCAGATTTAATATTAATTTTATCGAAAAAAACGTTGTCTTCGAAACCGCCCAACCAATATTGTTATGTTTTAAGGAAGCAAGAAAGATGCCTTTTCAATCTTTTATTTGGCTTTTGATTTACGTTGATACATTCATTGGTTTAAATTAAATACCCAAAAATGGCAGAAGAAAACTTTCTTTTTCGCTTGTAAAATCATGAAAGTTTTCGAATTAAGTAAAGTTAATTTTTAAGCCGAATGGAAGATCATACAACATTGAGTATGCTACAGTAGGTAGTTCAACTTATTTTGGGAAATGGATTAGGTCATTTTCAAAATAAACCATTAATACATAATACACTATAATAACTCTGGTTACCCAAACTTCAAGTTGACGTATAAAAGTTGATAACTGAAATTGAAAAAGCCAAATAATTACTTATGACTTAATTTACTTTTTTTTAGTTTTTATAGAATATGATATTGGAAATATTTTTTAATGTAAAAAAATTACATCTCAAAATCATAAAAATAATAAAAATTTTCGTTTTAAATTGCATTTACCCTGCTAACAATAATCATATATAACATCATATATAATTTTATATTCAAGTTTAATTTGTTACTTATACTTTTTTTAATATAAATTTTTCTATCACTGTCATCCTGAGAAATTTTTGGATTTTTGAACGCTCCCGTGTAGTTCATATTACGATAAACAACCCTACCGTTAAGTGGCTGAGTAGGTCGGTAATTATGAGTTAAAGGTTGATCTTGTTTAGTTCGCAAAGCACGAAAATTTTTAATCTAAACAACATAATGAATTCAACTTTTTTAAGCCATTAGTAATTTGATTTGTTACTAACTTGTTCAGACGTTATTGGAATAGGTGTCTCAAAATCAATCCACGTTACGACTTCTGAGCAAGGAGGTGTTGTTAAAGATCCAGTATATGTAAAATAGTTTTCAAAGTTGTCACTAATTAAATATTGCAATTTTGGTACGTAAGAATATTTTACTGGATGGTCGGGCACGACGATTTTTTCCAATAAGAATGACAATCCAACGTACGCCAAATTCGTCTCATTTGCGATCTGTAAAAACGAAGGTATAATTTAAACAATCCTAAAATATTTTTGTGTTATTATGATTACGATTTGTTAAGTGAAGTGAATAATATAAAATTAAAAAAATTTAAAAAATTAACCCTTGTATCAAATGTACTAAAAAGTAAAAAATAAACTTCAAATATACGTTCAATAAAAACAAAAAGTTAAAAAATTTGATTTAAAAGTTTGGTTGAAAGATTCTTACAAATGGGGTTGTGAGAACTTTATAAAATTAGTCATTTCATTTCTTATAAACTTTTGTACATAATTCGAAATAAGCATTTAGTGCGTTTCACTTTGTAATTTGAAAATGTTACTTATAAATTAAACATTATGAATTATTATTAAAATGTTAATTATGAAATTCCACAATATTATTTTGACTTAATATATATTTTGAATAATCGCAATTATTCTTTAGTACAAATAGTTCAATAATTGTGATATTATTACCGACCGTATTGTGTATACAATAGGTAGATTATGGGATGGCAACAAATTTTGCATATCGAGTTTTCGTTGGGAATGCACTTCTGCATAGTAAGGAAGTGTAAATAAACTACTATATTATTATTATACTCAAGTTCTGCTGAACCAATTTTGATGAAATTTGATATGTAAGTTTATTTCCACCATGGCACTGTTTTACATTTTTGAACATTTTGAAGAAAATATTCAACCGATTTACTTGAAATTTCATATATAAGCTTTGCTCGACGTTTGGAAGACATCAAGCATCAGCAACTGGATGTTTACATTTTTGCGTATATAAAGAGAATTAATTGACCGATTTCATTGAAATTTAATATTTAAATTCTTCGGATTGAAACAATGAACATATAAATTTTTTGGAAAGATCAGGGCTCGAAAACTGATCTGCGGGCCGATTTTACATTTTTCACCGTATCTACGGAACGAATTGATGGAATTTCTTGAAATTTGATATTTGAGTTCTGGTTGTTACCGTGAAACTCTTGTAAGAGCCAAATTTACATTTTTCTAGGTATGTTAACTATAACCTTACTAATGTCCTAAAAATTGGAAAGAAGTATTTAACATACATTTTTATAATATTCTGTAACACTTTCACTTAACTAGACAATACACCTATTTATGGTTATGTGCTGACCACATCAGATTTTTTTTTATTGTTTTTTTGACGATTTTGTTGATTTTCATAAAATAAGTTAATGATACAATTTTCTACTAATTTTAAATTTTCAATATATTTTTCATCGTTATGAATATAAAATTTGTTATTATATTCGGTAATATGTTTACTTTAAGTATTTCTTTAAATTTACTATTAGGAATACCGTGTATTAAATTTTTTGTACCAGATTCTTTCTTCGTGAGATCAGGTATAAAAATAGCAAAACTTAAATTATTATCAAACTTTAAAATATAACTTTTGATTTCTTTGTATTTAAACATAGTATTTAATATTCATCAATTTCCTTTAGAATTTACTTATATGCAGTGCTCGAAGTGAGGCAAAATGAAGTGGGATGCCATCCTAGTACTTTTAAATAATTGGAAATCCATCCCACTATTTAATAGGAGAGAAAAATGCGTTCCGGAACATGTTTTTTAAAATTTAAGAATATTTTCTAATGAATTTTAAAAATTTGTTTAACAAAAAATTAAATATATGTAATTTCAAATAAGACCAATTTCAAATAGTAACGTATAATTTTTTTCTATTAATGAAATTTTCGTTACTACATAGTAGTCTATGCATTTCTTTGGTAACAATTTGCACAGTTTTTGATTCAATTTTTAGTAGATTTAATTTTGAATATAAATATTCTCGTTAGTTTACTTGGAAAGTTTGGTAAATAATATTTTTTTTTTTTTTTTTTTGTTTTTTTTTTTTTTACCATCCCACCACTTATAGGATTATAGTTAACTTCGACCACTGCTTATAGGATTAAAGTTACTTATATCGATTATTAAATGTTGCAAATTGAATCAAAAATATAAATGTGGTTATTTGTAGTATAGTTTTAAATATTAGGAGTTGGCTTTTTCTTTATTAATAGCATTTTTATTTCCTCCAAAAATTTAAATCTTCGTTTTATTCGAGTGGGATGAATGCTTCTGTTCTTGAGATCTTTTAATTTATTCTGTGTAAAATTTAGTTTTTATTTTGATATATTAGTGTTTATGTTTATAAAGAGCTGCTTCGGGATTCTATATTTAAATTTCGAAAAATTTGTATTTGTTGGGCTTTTGTCATATTTTGCGCATTGCAAATATCGAAATTGTTAATACATATACATATATCTGTATTAGTTCTCTAAGTTTGGCGAAAAAATACTGATCTTTTATTTCGTTATAGTTTTCGATCTATAGTTTGTTTCTATATGAAGATGTTTAATTGTTTTTAATGCCCCGTCTTCATTTTTTATGTCGATCGCTTTATTAGAGCATTTTAAAAATGAATTTTCTTAGTGTTTGAAAACAGCTCGATCAGTTTATTTTGTAGCACGTTATATTGAGAATCCGCCAGTTTTGAATATTTTCCCGTGGTACCTTTTTTGACATATCTTCATAATATATCATTAAGATGGTTGCCGTTATTTAATTCATTTTCTGTTATATAAATTATACGAAAAGTTTTATTTTTAATATTTAAATCTCGTTGTTTTTCTTTAACCAAGTTGATTTGACTGATATGAATTTATTTACTATATTTTCTGTGATATTAAAATGGTCACCCAAATCTTCGATGCCACTGTGAATTGCTCCCATTTCAGAATCATTCTTATTTATAGCATTTATTTCGAAAGTTTTTAATGCTAATACAGCTTAAAAAGCCAGCAACTTTATTTTCTTTTCCTTTGAGATATTTTTCTTCAAAATCCTACTAATTTAGTTTAATATTCCACCTCTCGAGTTTTGAGTTAGTCTCCTTAAACGAGATAAGCCACGCTATGGGACGATGATTTTTGGGTAAATAATTTGTGACATTTACACTATTTTCTTTCATAAAATAACAATGCCATATTTCTTATTCTCTTATTTTAAGCAAACTTTGTAATGATATAGAGAATAAAGTACTAATTAAATAAATAAAATAAATAAAGAATAAAATTTGTGTGCGCCAGTTTTATATTTTTTTTCTTTTTAATTTTAAAAAGAAAATGGAAAAACAAAACAAAAAGAATAAAACAAAAATAAAGTTCGTTGTTTACCAATAAAATTAAAAATGTTTTATTTTATTTTTTTATTCACAAATAATTACAAGCTAATTCATGTTTCAATTATTTAGAAACAAAACTAATTTTTTTAATATTTTATTTATTTAGACGTTTTTAATCAAACTAAGGAACTGACAAGACTGAAACTTATTTTTTAGTTGCATTGCAACAATAAACGAAAAACGCGAAAATGCAAGAATCAGTATTTTCGTAAACAAAACGTTATTAAATACTTTTGTTGTAGAATGGAATTTTATTTAAAAAGCAATTTGAGGAATTGAAACAAAAAAAAATATTTTTATGTAATTGGAGAATCTTAGATAATTTTGTTTCATTAGAAATGTTTAAAAACTAAAAGAAAAAAATCTGATGCGATTAGCACATAACCGACCGCAATATTTGTATTGTCTAGTGAAGTGAAAGTGTTACAAAATATTATAAAAATGCCTGTTAAATATTCTTTCAAATTTTTATTATTAAGATCTTAGTTAACATACCTATAAAAACGTAAATTTTACTCTTAGTAGAGTTTCAGTGTGTGCTACTGGATTTCCCTGAAATGCTCGCCAGTTAGTTTCGGTAGCAATCAGAACTCAAATATCGAATTTCAAGAAATCCCATAATTTCATTGCGTATTTATGATAAAAAATGTAAAATCGGCTCTCAGATTATTTTTCGAGCCTTGATCTTTCCAAAAAATTTATATGTTCATTATTTTAATATGAAGAATTTAAATAATAAATTTCAATTAAATCGGATTATTTCTCTTTATATACGCCAAAGTGTATATTTTACTGTAGTAGACGTCCAGTTGCTGATCCCTGATTTCGTTCAAAAGTTAGAAAACTTCGCATACGGTCAAATCAAAATTTGTGAAATTTCAAATAAATCTAATGAATATTTTCTTCATAATGATCAAAAATGTAAAACAGACCCGTTAAAAAGTGCAGTTCCCGAGCCCTGATATATCCGAAAAGTAAATCAATCATCGGCATAGTCGAAATAAATTTACATATGAAATTTCATGAAAATCTGTTCAGCCGAACTTAAGATACACGCGTGCAAACACAGACTGACAGACCGAAAGGTTGCTAAAAATAGTTTATTTTCACTTCCTTTCCATGGAAGAGCGCATTTCCACCGAAAACTCGATATGCGAAATTTGTTGTCGTCACATGACCTACCTATTGTATACACAATGCGGTTGTAAAAATTATATTATGTGTTTAGACGTGGTATATGATTTGCATGCATTCTTCTTTCTTTACAAGAAATTGATTTACCATAAAGTTTGTTAAATATTTGGAACATTTATCAAATAAAGTTAGAACTTGTTCAATGTATTAGGTTACTTTCTATATATGTAAGTATATATATGCAAATGCGTATAGAAAAATTGATTACAATGTATACATACATACATATGTATGAGTATGTATGTTGTGAAATGTTGTAAGCTCAAAATTAAAATTTCTACGTCCTTTCAAAAAGTATGTGATTAATTATTTTGGTGGCCAAGTAACTAAATACGTGTAAAATTCATGTGCATATATATAGTATAAATATCAATTATATGATTATTGCTGTTTGAAGGTTGAAAATCATTAAGTAATAATATTTATTTAAAATTAATAATTTATACCGTGAAAAAATATGCCAAAACTACTAAACCATCAACGTTATGCGCTGCATTATTGAATTCTTCATATTTTTGATTAAATAATACCATATGCAACTCCACTGGAAAGCTATGATTATTTATCAAATCTTCACTTCCTCGATCATCGTCATCACCCCAATGAAAGTGAAACTAGATGTTATATATTTTAATTAATAATAAAATATATATTTAAAAATATGTATGTATAACAAATCAACCGCCTTTTATAAACAAACTTTGTGTTGAAGTTTGTAAGGCATTCATTTATTTTTACCTGAGCTAATTTATAAGTATCATTTAGTGGTCCACCACTTATGGTTGGATCTTCTTCAAAATCCATTGTTACTACAACTAAAAAAATACAATTTTAAATTTAATTATCAAAAGTTTTATTAATTGCATTTATATACAGTGTGTCTGGACTCGATGGCACTTTCCAAACAGGGTAATAGAATGCATTTTCATATAACTCAAGAAGGGGGCTCCAAAACCAAATTGTTACTAAGTGTTTTTTGCTTGCACTGGACGCACTCTATTCTCCCTGCATTCTGCCATCAAGTCTCGTACACCCTGTGTTATTATATAACAAATATAAAATAATATTCATATTGATTTTTCATTATACCGGTATGGCCATTATTTTTAAGGACAGCAGATTTTGGCACTTCATCAAAACCTTTTATTATTAATGGTGGAAATGAAAAATTTCTTGTTCTAACTAAATCGATATTAATTGGACTTTGCTGTTTTCCGCTACATGAAGTGTATTGCTCTCCCCAGTGTTCAGGTCCTGCATTTGTAACAAATTACATTACTAACATACATACGAGTATAATTTTTTTAAATTATGAATACTGTCAAATATATTTCTTTTATACTTTTTACACCTTACTGAAGTGCTGTTTTTTAATAAACTCAATTAACTCTTACCGTATGAGCCTAAATAGGAAAAATCCTGTCCATGTGCTTCATGTAGCGCTGAAAATTAAAAGTTCTTTTATTTTTAAATTTATGCGATATACATTTTAATATTTATTATATTTATTATAATTATTATTATTTTTATTATTATTGTTATTATTGTTGTTATTATTATTGTTATTACTATTATATTCTATATATTTATTTAATCTTAAAGTTAAGTTTTCTATTGCATAAAATTTTACATTCCCTGTTGCTTTATTATGGTTGAAACGGCTTATATAAAGTAGTAATAGTTAATATGGGATTAAAATTTGCCCAGCAATATTTTATTGCGTGAATGGAAATTTTGCGATAAATAAATTTGTGAAAATTATATTGAATTATGAAAACATTTTTTGCTTTAAATATTTAGCTTAACCTTTTCTCCATAAATATTGGAGATCGGCAGCCAGGTTTCAGTCAAAAGAATAGAAATATGACCTTATACTACGTTATTGGAAAATTTCCTGTTATTGGTAACACTTTTTTCAAGCTTTTTGAAAACTCAAGCATAAGACGGGGCTTGTAAAAGCAAAAAATAAAACCGGTTAGTCTGCATTAAATTGAGTGGTGTTGGCAAATCGATAGATTGTATATGTACATATATGATTTACTTTTTTCTTATAAGTATTTTTTTTATTTCAGCGAAATTATTTAGAAAACATTTCTCCAAAATTATTAATTTCTTTCCAGTGATTTTGCAGTTTCCTTATTTAACGTGAAAATATTTAAAATATTTGAAAAACATCGGAACTTAGGCAATGTGAATAAGTTGATCATCACATTAGATTTTCCTTTCACACCTTTTTCCTAAAAATTCATCGAGATTTGAAAAGAGGCATCATAAATCAAATTCTAAGCTTTAAAACATTAATCAGTTTTATTTTAATTCAGTTAAAGTTTATAATTCTTATGATAAACTAAATAATAAGTCTGTCTGGTATAAGAAATTTTTTAAAAACCTTATAAAGTTTTTGCATGCAAAGTATCTGGGATAATACTTTTTGAATAAAAACGAGAGAAAATTATGACATTCTTATTTTCTCAATGTTTAAAGTTTTTTCAAGTTTTGTAAAGTAAAATTTAGTGTTTTAAAAACTTTTAAAATCTTACAGCTTTCGAAACATATGATTTTTTTAGTTATGTCAGAAGGTGTTATTTTTGAAAAAAAAAATATTTTTCATCAACAATAATTTTATTTTAAAACATTACAATTAAAAATGAATTAAAATAATTGTAATGGGTTCACAAATGGTTTTTTCTAAGTTTCACACTTTTATAATATAAAATCAAAATTTTCGGTTTTTAGTATAACCAAAATATATGTATTTGTTTATATTTGATAAATACTTTGAAATTTGACGTTTATCACATATTTATAAAGTTTTTAAAATTTTTTTCATGTTTTCCGTCTGGTTTAGTTTTTTTTAAATGAGATTTTTTTTTCTTTTTGCGAAAAATTTCGTGATTGTTTCTCTTTTTAAGGTTATTCCAAGAAGTGGAGCTCCTTATTGGAGAATTGAAAATAGTTCGTAAAATTTTTAAATAACATCACGAAAATTGGTGTTTAAAATATGTAAACCAAATATTTTAGGTGTTTTTAGTAAGTCATAGAAGAAGCTCACACACAAGACGCAATTATAGGATCTTAATTCTAGTTTATAAAACAGTAAAATAATAGTGTCATTCGATAAGTAAAATTGAAATTAGATACATAATATGAAATGATTGCAAATAATATTTTTATGTGAGTTTATGATAAAAAAAAATATTTTGATAACTTTCTCAATAGAATGTTTAAAAATAAATTTCATAATAACAATAGTAACTTTGTATAAAAGCTAAATATCGTGTATAGTATACAATGAGTTTTTTCATAATGAGACCCGGTCCATTGATCTTTCTGGTAATACTCCAATATTATCAAAATTTGGAATTGTGTATGACACAGTAAATTAATACTTACACATAAATTTACATAATAAATTCTGCTTGTATTATAATTATATGTACGAAAATTGTTCATAAAAACCTGCATGCGTTGAACTGGAGCTCCCAACAATAACCATCATTTTTACTTTGCAATAATATTATAACATTAAAACGATTTTCTACTCCATATAACATTCCAAGTGAAAAAAAACTTTCGTGTTTGAGTCACATAACAAGCATCTACTCAAATTCTTGCATCTATTCAATCGTAATGAAAAAAAAACATGTCAATAAAGAAAATTAATTTTAATTATTCAAGCAATTAACAGATCAATCAAAATATTTGCTTTTAATTTCTATTAAAATAAAAAGTTATTTTAATTTCTATTAAAATAAAAAGTTATTATAGTTTAAAGAAACTATAATTCTAGCGTCAGTAAATAAAATAAAGTTGGGTCAAACCAATAATTTGTATTGTAGCACTTTTCCCTTCAAGTAAACAAGTGAAAATTTCGCTTTTAAATACAGTCTATGTATACCTATCACACTATTAAAATTATTTTTATTCATATACAAAACTATTTCTAGGATTGCCTATATTTAGGATGAACGATTTATGCAGTATTTCAAATAATGCTTGATAAAATTATGGGTTAACATAATGCTTCATTTTAAGGGTTAATTGTGTGAGTTAAGAAAAATAATTATATTTTTTAATGTCACGGGACTTACCGTTAGCTTTTAGCGTTTATAGAAATGTGAAAAAGTTTGCGGTTTCGGAAATATAAGGGTCAAAAATTCAAATTTTACAAATTTCAAGAGGCGATAACTTGAGAGGGGGTGGAGATGGAAAAAAATTTTCTTGTAACGAAATGAACTATTTGTTAATGTCTTAAAGCTCCTAAAATTTCAAGCTTCTACAGGCTGGGGTCTAGAAGAAAAACAACATCAAAAGTTTGGAAAAAAAGGACTTTAGATAACGGTAAATTTGAAAGGCCATTTTGTTTTTCTAAAGTTTAACTATAGTATATAGCGATAGGTAAAAATTTTGTTCTACGGAAATAAGTTTCTAGTAAAGATCTATGTACGCAATAAATTGCAACTTTCTATCTTCAAGGGTGTAGAAGTTTTGAAAAGAAAAAAAGTGTCCACGGACGGACGGAAAGAGTGAAACTAATAAGCCTTTTTTTTCAAAAAATTTTTGGAAAACTGCTAAAAATGAATATTTGCTTGGGAGCTTGTTTTGTATATATTTTCAATAATGAATATTAATAAAAAATAATTACAATTTATTATCTTTTGATTGAACTAGATCAAGAAATGAAAAGTAATAGAAACCAAATCACATTCCGAGTACAGAAACCCAATTACAGTTTTACATATATGTATATGTATATATATATATATATATATATATATATATATTCATTTCACATATTCCTCGTCTTTTATATTTTACTTATTTTTATTCTTCATACTTCCTAAAGCTTTTACTTTTGCATTCCTTTGGAGAAGAGGGTAAAACTTTAAAATACTTTAGAATCTACATTTGTTTTGCATTTTGGCAAGAAATGAAAAAGGTATTCCTACAAATGTTAATATTTTTAAAAAATAAAGCAAAGCAACATAAAACTTACTTATACTATATAGGTATATATATATGTACATACATTTAAATTTTTATTTTGTAAAAATTCTTAAGATAATTTTGTTTCTTCAGACTGAGCAAATATTAAAAATTTACATTTAAAATTAATTTTACTTTCTGCAGATTGTACCAAATTTAAGTTGACGTGAAATCAATTTTTGGTAGACGCCTTATGTACATACATACATATGTACATATATGTATGTAGAATATTTGTTCAAAATCGAAATCTTCGTCCGATCTATCAACATTCGTTAGCTGGCCTGACTATTCCATCGATAACTTGAAAACCCATTAAAGTATATAGGCTAACTAAACTTCTTGAAATTGCTAAGAATAACTGTCACAACAATTTTCTAACTACTTTTTCGGGTAGTTGTTGTAGAACTTTAAAAATAATTTGAAACAAACAAATTTAGTATTGAGAACTTTAAATATTTGACTTTCTTAGATTTTAGCACTTGATATAAATTGTATTTTCCATGTATGATTCCCTATATTAATATTAATGTGTTTTTCGTTGTCACCCAGTAACCCTTAATACACTAACACTTTCCACTATAACCATATCCTTTTCCACTAAATAATTGTTGCTTGATGTGAATAATTGATGTTTCAATCATGCTTGTTTTTATGCTTTTATGCACGGTGCTGAATTCTTAATACGAGCAGTTATTTAGAAATATAGCATAAGGTTACAGTGCAAAAGGGTGAAATTTCGATCAATATTTCAAGTTTCAAAGTTTTATCTTAAAGGTTTAAAAAATAAATGACAAACAATGAAAACAAGTGAAAACAAAAGAAGAACATAAGTTAAATTAACTGTATAATTTTTTTTTATTGAAAATATGCTCAAAATAAATTCTAAAATAAAAGCAACTTTTGATTTCAAAACATGGGAGAATTAATAATTTTGATTTACTTTTCGGTTATCACTTTTATATAATAGATTCTAAATTATGTTAACTGTATTGATTGTACACATGTTAAACGCGGTTCGTATGTACGCACATACCTATGTACTAATATAAAACGTGTAATATATATGCATGTAATATATGTATATATGAATACAAATAACAGTGAATGTTTTTGTCGGACGAAGTGCTAATTTTTCAAAGCAAATTTAAAATCTAATAATAGTAGTACTTACCTGAAGTGTTTTCTAAATCTAAATTTATATATAGTTTACGATTTAAAGGCTTATATAAAAAATTAAGAGTTGATAATTAGTATATAATCAATTATATAGTATGCATTATACATTTACGTCAGAACAAACAAAAATAATTCATTTACATAAAAATCTTATGTTATTATAATTAGTCACTTAATTTACATTTTAATTAAGAATTAAAATTTTAATTTAAAATTTAAAATAGTTGAGCAGTATTTCCAGTTTTATAATTGATATTTTCTTTTCTTATACTTAGTTAGATTTGCCATCCAGACTTGTCAGGGCTTTAGAAAATCAAATACTATAATAGTACATTATAGGTATGCATGCACGTATAAAATCGCTAAAAATGCTATATTTGATATTGGAAATTCAAATGCTATATGTCTTGCTTTTTCTGGGGCTCTATTAAATGGCTTTTCTCCCGAGTCTCTACTTTATAACACCTATTAGCATATACATATATAATGGTTAGGATGACTTTTGAAGAGTTATACGAAATATGAATAAATAAAAGAATTAGAAAGGCAAATTCAAAGTACTGTGTACAGCCTAGTGAGTAGCATGGTAGTCTGATAACCAGAAGTCATATTTTTCTTTTTTTGGATTATTTTTAATTTTTTTTTATTTTATTTTGTTTAAATTTTTTTTGTTTTATTTTTTTTAATATACATACATACAACAGTTAAATATTGTTATAAGAGTTTAAAAAAATTCCTAATAAAAATATTGTTATATAGAAAGGAAAAATTTTGCAAAAATTTTAAGTACGTATGTATGTACGTATATACCTAAGCATGTATTTACACATTATTTTTAAAGCTTTCTGACGAATTTTTTTAAAGCTTCCTACACCCACAGCACTGCCCCCTTCCACAGTTTTGAATATTATTAAAAGTAAACATATAGAAGTAAATTTTTCAAATAAGGAAAAGGTCATTATATACCCTGCACTTCGTGAAGGGTATATTAACTTTGGTATGGAGTTTGTAACTACTTGAAGGAGTCATCTGCGGTATGGACATATATATATATTCTTGCTCAGCGTAAAATTCTGCGTCGATTTAGACATGTCCGTCTGTCCGTCCGTCCGTCCGTCCGATCGCACGATAACTCAAAAACGAATAATGCAATCGACACCAAACTTTCACAAGTTTTTTCTTTTGTGCCAAGGACGAGCCCTATTGTTATTGGACTAATTCGGACAACGGGTTCGGGTAGCTGCCATACAACTCAAAGAGTTTATTTTAAATATTTCAAAAACTAATAAAGCTATAAATATAAAATTTTGTATACATGTGTCCAATTATATTCTACACATGCTCTAAAAATTATAATGGGATATCTGCACCGGTTCGGGTGGCTGCCATACAACTCCAACAGCAAATTTTTTATATTCGGAAAAATAATAAAGTCAGATTCATGAAACTTGGCAGTCATGTGTCCAATTATAGGTCAAATATATTTCTGAAGTTTTAGAGGAATTGATTGACAGGTTCGGGTACCTGCCATACAACTCCAGAAGCTAATTTTAAATATTTTCAAAAATAATAAAGTCAGATTCATGAAACTTTGGCGGTTGTGTGTCGAGTTATAGGTCAGATATATTTCTGAAGTTTTGTTTGAATTGCTCTTCAGCTACGAGTAGCTCAGTGTGCCCAGTTATAAATCAGACATATCCGTGAAATTTCTATAGAATGATTTCACAGGTTGGAGTAATTGCTGTACAACAACGAAAGGTGCAGGGTATAATTCAATCGGTTTATACCGACTGAAACGTTTTTACTTGTTTTAATTTTATTCTAACTCTATGTATTCAATAACCCAATGCGAAACTTTAAAAAAATGCTATGTGTAATACAAATAATTGTTTTCGATTAGTTTGATGAAAGCAAAGCAAAGTGCCAAATAACTCAAAATAACATATAATATGTATTTAATCTTTTTGTACTAAAGATCGACTGTTTTTAATTGAATTACTTCGATTTCTATTCATTTAAAAAAGATTAGATGATTAATTAAGACAACTTCAATTTTACTTATTTATAAAATTAAAACAAGCAAAAACGTTTCAGTCGATATAAACCGATTGAATTATACGCTGCACATCTCATTGTTGTGTAGGAATTACTCGAACCTGTGAAACCATTCTATAGAAACTTCACGGATATGTCTGACTTATAATTGGACATACGACTGCTAAGTTTCATTAATCTCACTTTATTATTTTACCAAATATTTAAAATGGGTTTTTAGATTTGTATTGCAGGTACCCGAACCCGTCAAGCAATTCAACCAAAAGTTCAAGAATATACTCGTACCTGACCTATAATTAGACACTCGATTGCCAATTTTCATGAATCTGACTTCATTATTTTTCCAAATATTTAATATTAGCTTTTGGGGTTGCGCGGCAGGTACTTGAACCTGTCAAGCAATTCCAATAAAACTTCAGAAATATATCTGACCTAAAATTGGACACACGACTGCCAAGTTTCATAATAAAATTTTTGGCATTGTTTTTCCCAAATATAGGCCTGTATGAAGGCTCAAACATTTATCCAAATATAAATAAATCCGTTAAAAAGTCATTCAAAGAAACAACACAGGATTTTATATGTCACTTCGGGTTAAAACTAGTGTTGAGCACTATAAGTGTGGTACTAACAAATTAGAAATACTAAAGGAGGAAGCATCTCACTTAAAAAACTGTATCTTGAAAAAAAAATATAATGAAGCCAAATATTCAGGTAAGTGTTTTTCTTTTTTCCAAGCATTGTCATTTAAATTTAAATTTTGTTTTGTATGTATGGTCGTGTATGTCAAGTTCTATGGCACGGATTGATAACCTTTTGGTATATATCAGGTCTCGGGAACTGAATCTTTTTGCGTGTCGATTACATTTACATTGTTTTGTATATAAAAAGAAATAATCAACCAGTTTAAATCTTATTTTTAAATTCAGGCTACTAAAATAATGAACATATAAATTTTTTGGGATGATCAGGGCTCGGAAACCGGACTGGGGACTGAAATTACATTTTTTACCATTTCTACGGAATGGTAAAACTTTTTGAAATTTTATATTTGAGCCCTGGTTGTTACCGGGTGGCACAAAGTGAAATTCTTCTAAGAGTAAAATTCGCTACGTGTATATACATATGTCATATATCAAGTAGTTTTGTTATTATAACAACTATCTTTTATACATATTTTTATACATTTTGTTTATGTTATGTTTTACAAATATGTAAAACATAAAATAGCACAGAAACTAAATTTTTAGGGAAATAAAAAGGTGCACAGTTCCATGTTTTCATTCTCATTTGAAAAAACGAATGAATGTTTTCTATCATATGCATGTGAATATTTTTTATTATTTTGATAATTAAATGAAATATTTATTCAATAGTGTTAAGTTTAACTTATAATTCGTAAATCTATTAACACCCTAATCGTGTATCTTGCTTTTTCATCTCACTTTTAACTCACCTTCAAATCAGAATTTTCCGTTTTTCTAATGAATATTTCATTTTTTCCAATAAGATTACTCAGTTTTTCAATTGGATTTTTGCGTTTTTTCTCAAATAATCGACTGAAACTGACTTGTCTCATCTTTAAAAACAAAGTGAATAAATTTGCGCAATACGAAATAACTCTTCTTACTCGAAAATTACATTATACAAATAAACATAATCAAAAAATATTTATTTTTGTTTAGTTTCAAACTAAGATTACTTCGGTTGGCATAATTTTATCGAGAGCTGTTTTTTTTTCTAAGTAAAATTAGTTTGTGTTATACGAAATTTAAAATGGACTTTTTTTATATATGTATTTACAGTTTTTCTAGAAATGACGAAATGGAAAGAAAGTGAATTGCAGAATGAGATGTAAAAAAAGTGGATTGAAATGTATGCTGCTTAACTCTTTTAGCTAAGGGGATGTTTTGTTATAAATCGCTTTGATTTTATTTTTACAATTGAGACATATTTTTTTTACAACAATGGAAAAGTGCAAAGTTTACACACTATCATTTCAGGGCAAATTTTTTTTCCATTTTATTTTTTGTCAAAAAACTAGTTTTCAAAATTATATTTGAAAAATTGAAACAGTTAATTTCTATATCGATGTACATATACATACATGTACATAATTTAAATAAAAAATCGTAAAAATTGTTGTAGGTTTTCTTTTATGTATGCAGGTCGTCCTTTTGTTCCTAAATTTTTCCAGCTCGAGGAATTTGCTTTGAAAATCGGACCATTACTTATAAATATTTTTGGAAAAATTACATACTATGTTTAATATCATGAAATTTAATAAAAAAATATATCTCATAATTTGAGTAAAAATGTAGTTCCAAAAAAAGACGATATGTTACAATTTCGACAATGACTTTGTAACAATCTAACTCCGCGAATGGATTTGAAATATGTATATGTTTAACATATGTTTAAATTAATGAAGCTTCACTCTTATTTACTTTAGAAACATTTCTATTTTCTTGTCGAACCATATAAAAGAAATCTTAAAAAATATTTAAGTGACAGAGCCATGTAAGAAATTTTTATTCGTTTATACAAATATTAAGACTGCTACGTTTAAAGAATATATAAACACTGTTCATTTGTAAATCACTTTCTTTACATTTTTATCCAGTTATCTGTATTAAATTCGACCTTTTTTATTTGTAAGGCGAAGTAATTTATTAAACTCACCTATTGTAACAATAAAAATAATTTTAAACCAACATCTAATCAGCAACATTTTTTTTAATAAATAAATATTATTAATATCTGTGTGAATATTGTTTTAACTATTCCTTTTAAACCTACAATATGTCTTTTTTTGGTATTTTTTTTTAAAAACACTTTTTGTTATTTTGCTTTGTAACAATGTAAATGTAATATTATTCGTTTTCAAAATTTAAAATCGTATAATTGAATAACGTTAAAAAATATTTTTAATAATAAATATGTTTGGTAAGCTATATTTTCTAGTTTGTAATTTAATTTTTAATTAATTAAAAATGATCTAATTTCATCAAATATTAACTGCAATATTGAAGAATCATTTAAGACGAATTATTTGAATTTTTTATATTTTCACTGTTCGACGCTAAAAGTAAAACTTGAGAAAAAATCATTTGGCGCAAGATATTTTAATTTTTACTACTTCGTGTGTTACTAATACAAATTATACAATATATTTGTTTTTTTGAGCATATTTCTAGAAGAATTATAACGATATTATAAAAAAACTGAATTGAATACGAAACATCTTAGTCGGATTATTAAAATAATATTGATTAGATTTTTTGATATTCTCACTGTTCGCCGCTAAAAGTAAAACTGGCGAAAAATCATTTGGCGCGAGATATTTTAATTTCTATTATTTCGTGTATTACTAATACAAATTATACAATATATTTGCTGTTTTGAGCATGTTTCTAGAAGAATCATGAAAAAAGTTATTAGTTTCATTCTCACCGTTCGTACGTCCGTCTAAGCGTTTGCTTATGAAACTTCTTCATTCTTTGAATAAGACAAATAAAATTTTATGCATAAATAAATTTTGTGGAGAAACTCAGTTTTCCAGAAGAACATTATTACTTCCCTTTTTTTTGAAAATGTCTATAACAGCAATAAACCCCTAATTTTCATACCTTAACTAATTGGACACGGAAAAAAATCATTATATAGATTTTTCTCTTAATTTTATAGGGTTCCCTAAAAGTATGTAAAATTTTTTGTATTCTTTTTGGTACAATACACAATGCGAATAATTTTAGTAGAAGATTGTTAAAAGAAAATATATTTTTATTTGTTCAAGAGAATTGTGCTACATTAAAAACTATTAATTTAACCCGCATTTACATTATATACCTTTAAATTATTTATTCAACTATTCTATAATGACATGATGTGGTTATTTTCTCACCTATAATATATCGTACCTATAACTGTATTGTTTAAAATTAGACTTATAATTTATTTTGAATAGAATAATTGTATGTGCTTGAAATTTTTTAAATAATTTAAGTTAACGCTAGTAAATATTGTAAATATATTTTTATATAATAATAAGAACAAAACAACAGTTAAAAAATTAATGAATAGTGTAGTATTTTTCCATGAACTGAGAACATATTATTTAAATTTACAGTAAAATAACTGTGTTGAGAACATAGATAGGTTAATATAGAAATTTCAATAATGTCGTGAATTGAACTTCAATTTAATTAATTAGTTGTTAATGTGATAGGAAATACTTATGATTATTTGTAGGAAGATAAAATGTGATAATTAAGTATTAGTTGAATGCAATGTGTATATATGATATTTTCAAAACATGTAATAAATGTTTTAAATTTGTGCTATACCTACAATACCACAGAATGTTGAAAACTTTTGAAAAAAATAGTCAACAATTTTTTTTTAAGCAAACGTAACAAAAATTAAAAATTTTGGGACCCTTTTGCTTTAATATGTCAAGTACGTAACCCAATGAACCGAACTTAAACTCACTTTTCGTGTATAATGTGCACAAGAATTAGTTACGAATTGGTTGGTATAATGATGCAAATATTAAGGTTGCAAAAAGGTTTTATTTGACTACCGCTTTGCTACTCATGTATATGCGAAAGAATATTTTGTAAACTTTTTTGTAATAAAAATTGTCTCGATAGTAAAACAAAGTGTTTAATATAATAAAAATATTAAGAAAAAATATGAAAGTGGAAATACTAAATAATAATTTACAATTTTCATATTCCACTTGTATTTTTGCTTAAAAATTTTGTTTCTTACTGCAAAAAGTTCATGGAATTTCATATTCGTGACAAATATAAGGGTATTGTTTCCAAAAAATAAAGGGGTTTCTTTAATATCTTAATATGTCTATTATGCATGCATTTGGGTATTAGAACACTTAAGATTTGTTTTTAAGTTCGTAATGTGACCTTCTAGTAGAATTTTCTAAAAAAAAACATGATTCCACCAACATATGATAAGTTTTGCTCAAAATGTCAAAATTTGAGGGAAGCAATACACATTTAAGTTGCAATTTGGTTACTAAATTCAAAAATGTGTGCGTAATGTAGACCAGCAATCATCTGTCAGGTTCAGTTTTGCGCTTTTGCTTTTACCGTGTGTTATTTGTATTTTTAAAAGAAAAAACCAACAAATTGTGTTAAATATAATAAATAAATTGTGTAAGTTTACAAAAACAAAATTAATAAATATGCCATTTACATTAATGGGAACCATTGAAATTGGTTCCAAATATTTTACTTGGGTATAATTTATAATTTTTATATGGGTATAATATATAATTTTTTATCTTACCCTAATTAACGTAAAACCGTCAAATATCCCCTCATATGAAGCTAATTGGGAAAACTCTATGGAAATAAATTTACGGATACTGATTGTGAAGAAAGGTTTATATACCGCTTAAGTTAGGTTTCTAAATAAAAAGTATTTTTTTATGCATTTTTATCATCAGCTATATATCTGATCAAGAACTGTTAAAAGAATTTTAATTTACGGGAAAAGAAAGCAATGAAGTTACAAAAGTGCATTTTATAAAATATGGCAACCTTATACAAATATTTTTTGAAGTTAAGAACAAAAATTTTTTTTGTTATATACAATGCTATTTCATATATATTAATTTGCGTATTGATCGTCAGAACATAGCAAGTAAAAATGTAAAAAAACACAACATCTTCAAGATAAAGGTGAAAATACTATCAATTGGAACACTAAAGAATAAGTTGGAGCTGGAATTAATAAAAAAGAAAATTATTCCAATAATTGATATAGAGTTGTTCGCAAATGGTTTTTTCTAAGTTTCACACTTTTATAATCCAAAATCAAAATTTTCGGTTTTTGGTATAACCAAAAAATATTTGTTTGATAAATTAAATACTTTGAAATTTGACATTTATTACCTATTATAACACATGTGCATTTTTAAAATATATTATATATGTGCATACGTACATATTTTAAATCAGATAAAATATTTTATTGCATATTGTTTTGTTTTCAGTTTAATGTCGAGCGATTTTACTGCATATTATTGATATTTCAAATGCCAATTTGACAATTGCCTTTTAAACGGACTTGTGCACTAAATTTGCTTACAGTACAATCATATGCGCTAAAGTTTTAAATTATAAAAGCAACCAAAGTAATAGTAAATTGTAGCAATCAATATTTTATGTGTCACTAAATGAACCATTTACTTTATTTGTATGTGAAATTATTTCACATGTGTATACGATTTTTGAATTTTGTGTGTTTAAGAACGGTTTTGGTTCCTTGGGAATACTTATACATGCCCGCCAAGGTACATTTAAGAGAATTATACTAAATATTATGTTAATGTAAATCTTTATCGTTTTATGATTATTCATTCACACAAGAAGTTTTTTTCGCCCAGCACAACAGAAACTGATGCTTAAATTGGTTTGCTACACTTACAAAACAATATCAAACTCTAAAATTTCCAATTCTTTAATATATTTTTCGATTTTTTTCAAAACTTTTCTAATAGATTCTTACATTTCAAAAAATTTTTCTGTTATAATTTAAATATGTAATTTATTGTTATTAAACCTCTTTAGATCTGACTGAATTTAGAGTAAATTTGAACCGGATGTCTGCAGTTTCTTCCAGATGAAGCGCAATTGTGAAACGAGAACTTCTCTACAAGGATCGACAAAGAGAATTCCAGAAAGTTTGGGTTTGAACGACTTTAAAAGCTTAAAGCCTCAGCTCAATTAGTTCCAAAAATTTGTAGATCTTATTTTTGATTTCCCCTACTTTTTATCTATAACCAATAAGTTGTTTTTTCATATTATTTCAAACTATAGACAAGTGTGAATAAATCCGACAATATATATGTTAATATCTTAACGTAACATCAAAAAAAAAATCAAATAAAACATTTCTAGGGCTGTCTGTTAGAAAATGGTTCTATATGTTTGCCATTTCGAGTGAAATACCATTGAAATTTTTTTTGCCTTATTATTTTTTTCTAAAACATTAACTACTCGTAACTTACATAACATTAAAATTATACCATTTTTTTCTATATCAAATATAGTAAAATATACTTTTTTCCAATTGCAATTAGTATCAATCAGAACTGAATAAGTTTACTTATCTATAGTTTTAAATGTTTTTAAACATGCGTTTCACTTATATGAAAATAACCAACATGGACATTTATATATGAAACATAGCAATGAAACTTGAATATATTTTCATTTCAAATGTCTTAGCATGACATATTATGTATATTTCAACGTCTTATTAGAGAATTTTGCAGAAAAATTTTTGGAACAATTGGTTTTTTATAATTTTTTTTAAAACTACTGGAAAAATTAAATTTTTTTTCTTGCATTAAAAAGCGCTTAAAATTTTAAGTAATACTGCATTCACAATTTTTTTTTTGTCAAAAATGTAGATATCTTGTTCTGATAGAAAACTCTAGATTTATAAATTAACATACAACATTTGCTATTTTCTTCCTCTTTCTTCTGTTTAATTTCCCTGTATTATTTCTCTGGAAATAATTGTCTCGTCCGAACTCAAAACAAATAATGCAATCGACACAAAACTTTCAGAAGATGTTGCTTTTGTGCCACGATGGCTGCTATTGTAATTGGACCAATTCGGACAACGGGTTCGGGTAGATGCCATACAACTCAAACTGGTTTTTTTAAATATTTTAAAAATTAATAAAGATATTAATATCAAATTTTGTGAAGGTGTGCCGAATTACGTTCTACATATATTCTAAATTTTAATGGAATAGCTGCACTGGTTCAGG